CTGGGACGTGCACAGTAACGGGAACAGGCTTGTAGTGGTACGTCGGCGGCGACGGCACGGGCTCGGGCACATAGTGCTTCTTCGTGACGTAGTGCTTCACGACGCGAGGTGGCCCAGCAGTCTTAATCTTGATTACGGGGCTGGGATCCTTGCAGCTTCGAAACAAGAACTCCAGTGCTGATACAAAGCCTTACTGAATTGACTGTGCAAACGAGTCGCGTGGACGGGAACCTTGACGATGTGATTGATTTCGCGAGGTGGCGGAGCCGGCACGACGACTTTCTCTGGCACGGTCACGTGGTGAACGTGCGTGATAGTCTTGTAGTGGTTCCTCGGCTGCAGAAGGACCCCTGCTGCCTCTTGTGTCTGAAGCGACTTCGGAGCCGAGATTCCGGTACTGAACCTTGGCAGAGATCGGAGAAAGACTCGAAAACCAAAACTTAAAACCCTTTAGCCTGACGCCCGCCTTCGTCACGCAAGCCTCCCCCGACTTGTAGCAGCAGTATCGCTGATGCTCGTGGGACCACTGTGTCTTCCAGTTGCCGTAGCCTGCAAGTTGCTCGAAAGGCAAGTTTTTGGACAGAACATCCTCGCAACTGCAGCACGGACTCAGACGAGTCAATGGGGGCACACAACTTTCAGAAACCCGACCGCTCACTACAGATCATGCGTGTCATGCCTGTTACCTGCAGATCGACCTCATATGTAGTCCCGACTCCGCAACAATGGGGACAGCTCTTAGAGTCGGTAAATGAAGCTCGTGGTTCCGAGCCTTCCGTGCAATCGTAGGGGTGGTGTTTGACGTACACTTTCCTCCTCGGGAAGGATAGCAGAAAATGGGAGACAGAACGCAAAGGAGCCGAGAGCTTGCTCGCTAGCGCAAAACTCAAGCATCGATCATGCTAAGGATCGTGATGACCTTAGCAGGTGGACCAGGTATCGGAACAGGAACTGAATGTGCCACCCGCTCTGTCCTGCCACAATTGTACACTGACACAACGGAAACGCATCCTTCGCGCAACTAGTGCCAGCAAACTCCGAACCCCTTTGCAGCTTTGCACATACAGGCATAGTGGGACACCATACTCATGACGACTCCCCCATCCTCACGTTGGTGTAGAACCTTCATTCGGCAAGAAAGAAAGCCGTGCGCTGCGAGAGAAAGAAAGAAATTCAGAGAGACTGTGATGGGACACCTCGGAAACGCCGAGGGGCTTGTCGTGGATGATAACCGGCGCTTTCGGCGTTGTGGCACAGAAGGCTCCGTAGCCGTTTGCACAGCAGGCCTCCCTCTGAATCACGGTCATTTCATCCATCGTCGGGCTTGTCTGGCAGGGGTCCTGAGATGACACTGCGGCACTCCAGCCTTGCGGGAGTCATACGAGTCATACCTTGTTGTACCCTCATCTGCATGGGCAGTCTGTCAGTGCTGAAGGCAGCAAGAAGTATCATTTTCCTGGAATATCAGTTCCTCGAACACAAAGTCGCATGCTCCCTGGAATGCCAGTGAAAGCCTTTCGGGCCAGGAGGCCAGTGGAACCCAACCGAACTCGTGAGAGCCGAACCGCAAGAGCCATCCGAACGGAACCGAACCGAACTATACCACAAACCGAACCGGAACTGCAGCACATCATGGGTTTTCTGGTTTGAGGGCGCCAACCTAAGCCACATTTGAAGACCAGCATCATAAAGAATCCGATTAAAACAACAGCATCAACATCTGTTTTCAAAAAACGAAAACGGACTTAAAGCCCGAATCCTTGAAACGCAAAAATCCGAAGACAACCTGTTGTTGATGCAGCGTTGGACAAGCAGCCTCGTTATCTGTTCAACGGTGGTTGTCACCCAACTGGGGTCACAATTCCAGGAAATGTAATTGCACGGAACTGTTCAATAACCCGAGATCTGTTAATTGCTCATGTTGGCATGAGCCGCGGAAAATTGAACAGTTTGAAGGCAACATGAACTGTTCAATAGCCGCCCAGTTAACTCTGAAATAACCAAACACATAAAGACTTACTCTTCGAGGCAACGCTTAAGATGTGGCTCATCCAGTCTTCTTGAGTTCCTAGAAGACTCACGATACGCGCTGGTTTGACTCCCCTGTTCCTGGTCCTAGGAGTAGCTTGCCACTTATCTTCACATGTCTCGTGATCACGCTGCGGAACCATGCCCAAAGGCTGCCTAGCTCATGATTCTGTCATGTCGTGGGCTTTGGAGGGCATCCCGCTGGTTATGAAATTCTCGCCTGCTGAGATGAGACATGGAGACTGGAAGTGGGTCGGGTCCTTTAGCACAGAGAACTTACTGTAAGCAGAATCCGAGCTCGGCGCCATGGCATCAGCTCCAACCGGGCTGTGGAAGAAGTGGGGCCTCGAGTCGTGTTGGGGCACATGCACAAGGGGCAACCCACGCTGCTTGTCTCTTGGGCCCTGACATAAAGAAGTAGATCAGAAGCCCCACAATCACGAAGAGCAGGAAACAAATGAAGAACACGCAGATTGCTCGAAACCTTGCAGGTTCTACATGCACGACAGCCTCTGAATTCCTCCATGCCAAGGCGGTGGCCTCACACCTTAGCTGTTGCGTGCTGTTTTTGTACCATGGAGTCTGCCGGGTCTCGATGCTCCCACTTGCCCTCCCCTTTTAATTCATTGCACAGGTACCGGAGCTCACGGTCACCTTCTCCTTTTCGAAGTCTCCGCGACTGGCAGGAAGCGGACGGTTTTGGGCCCCGGTCGGTATTTCTACCTCTTTTAAAACCCCTGAAGATGAACTCTTTGCTGGGTGGCCCGTGGCCGACGTAGTCCATGCTGGCCGCCTGCGAGTATGTTCCTCGACCTGCGCAGCAACTGTGTTTTGAGCTTCGTCACTGTGGCACAAATCCACCACACAGGTAGCGCAACCGATATCCCGCCTTGCCCAACATAAACCTCAAGGAAGGGCTCAGGAATCGGGAATCGCAATGACACAGATTCGGTCAAGAGACCCAGCGCTCGTCCGTCTTGACAAGCTCAGGATCGGCCTCAAAGCCTTGGATCTCAGAGCATCGGGAAAACGTTCCGGGCGATTCGAGGCATGCTCTTAAGCCAGGCATCAGAGGCCACCAACGCCGCCACAGGCGCCACCTACTTGGCGCAAAGAGCGGAGTACATCAGGATCGTGGTCCGGAGCTTGCAGAAAATCCAAAATGTGTGGCAAAGAGGCAGATATTGCAGCTGAAAGGCCACATCCATCATCGATAACAACGCCTCCACTGCAATCAAGATGTGGAAAGAGGTCCAAACGAAGCCCATGGAACGAAAAAAGAACAAGTGCCTCCTTCCGCCGAAGCCTTGCTCCTTGGATCGCTAATGTCACGTCCATCCACCCGTGATCTGGCACATGAAACAGCTTGTACGACAAAGCCAATCACTCCTTTCGGAAGGCCGGAAACGGTTGGCATTGGGACTTGCAGATCCGCTTCGCTGGTTAGCGCAATTGGATCTAGAGCAAAGGCAGGTGGCAGAGTTTGCCACTGGTTTCGGGTTTTGCAGCCTTTCACCCGATCATGTAGCACGGCAGACACGGAATTGTGCCGCGCGGACGAGACATGCAACCTACGCGCCTCGGCGCAGACTGAAGCGTTGCGCGATTTGGCACTCCGTGCGATCGATGGGAGATGATGTGAGTCTGTGGCCGAGCTTGAAGCAATCTCGCAAAGGTGGATGGGCCCCAATGCTAATTCCCAGAGGGTGACATCGTCCTCTACTTTGCTTCGGGAAGGACACTGCAGCCGAGAATCGCCGATGGCATGTTGGCTACTCCTGAATCGGGACACTGCCAACTCCCGGGTCCTTGAGCACCATCCTACAGGCAAAAGAGAATGAAAAGCTGCCTCAAACAAACTTCGCAGGCCTTTCCTCTTGCAACGTGACCCTTCTTTCAACACCCAGAAGCTTCGCTACGTTGCGACGCACAATGAAGATCGAAGCCCCTGTGCTGCCCAAAAAGAGAGCACTGCATTGACCCAGGCCCTGCAAACCAGGCCCTGCAAACCAGTTCGGAAGGGCTGGACAAGCGAAGGTGTGCACAGCACGTCTGATCGGCTCAGCTGCAGCGGCTCTGCTAGCTTTTCATCCGCACGGGTCGAAACCGTCGAATTCCTTTGCCTGCGCGTACTTTAGGCACAGTCCGGGTCTAAGAATTCCTTCAGAACTCTTCATCAGAAGCGAACGGGTCCAGCTCCGGAAAATCGCCAACTTCGACCTAGGTGTCAATGCATCTTCAACATATTTTGCGAACCGTCTGTGAACCGTCCGTGGGTTATCCTAGGTTTATGACCCAAAGTTTCCGCCAAGGTGCATTGTCAGGCCGTGCAAAACATCCGTATTTGTCGCCTCTGCAGTTGAAGTAGCGCTCACCTTCCTTCGAGCCGTCGTTGTTGCCTGGTTCGCAGCGGGAACAAGCCCATCACACGTGGTGTGTTTTTGCAGCATCACGGGAAGTTCTCAACCTTCGACAGACATCCGACTCACCACCTACATCGCATTGTCGGGCTTTCGCCGATGCTTCCCTTTACAAGACCAGAGATTCGCCCGAGCGACCCTGCGGCTCGTCGAGGCGCACACCGATCCACACGCCCTGCCGCAATGAAAGCACCCAGACGAGCACCGGCAAGCGCGGCGCCCGGCCGGCCGCCCAAGGCCCCCTTGTTTTTGGGCCTTGACGCCCCGCACTGCGCCGACAAACGCGACTTCGCCTCTGCGCCCTCCGGGCTGTACCTGCACTGATAGGCCCAAGCTTCGCTGTGGTAAAGGCGTAACGGCCTGACAGCGGCTTCCCATTGGTATCCGCTCCGAGACCTGGAAAGCGGGCCGAACACCTTTAAAGGGTCTCGCTTCCCGCCGCGGCCTGCTCTGCGCTTTCTGCAGGCTCCTCTTCTATGACCTCAAATCACGGCACAGCCAAACGATCTCAGGACCCTTAAGAAAGCTTCCATTCGGAGATGTTCGGAGTATCCACTCGATTGCACATAGCAACTTGTAGCATTTACTCTAGGCCTGGCAAGCTTCGGACTGTACTTCAAGCAACATGCCGCACATCTTGTGATGTGACAAATAACAACCGTACTGCAAGGCTCTTGTAACCCTAGCATCCCACAGACTCAGCCTGAGGTACAAACCTCACCCGCGGCTATTCTGGCTGCGAGCTCAGCCTCTGCCTGGAACAACTGCAACTAGCCACCCAGTAACCCACAGACCCTTTAAGACATGATAGTAGCTGCCGTGCCTTCTCCTTTTCCTTGCGCTTGATGGCACGGACGCTGTTCTCTAGCTTATCATAAGCCTGCACGCATGCATCAGGAGATTCATGAACCGCCTGCCACTGCGTTGCAGCACGGTTGTTTTAATCACATTCGATCTCAACGCAACTGCCAAGTCCTCCTCCGACATGACGTACTTCTCCACCTGCTGAGACCGACACTGAACAGTTGACAGCAGTGACTATCCCGTAGCACAGGCATTCTGGCCTGACTAACATCCTCCAGGCCACCGTTTGCAGAGAGCGAGTATGGATTGGTGTCCTCACCGGTACGACTCCTATAAGCCGAACGAGTCCGCAAGCTCCGTTATCGCTTGACCGCAGCATCCTTGATGTGGATCTCCATTCCGTTCCTGAGATTTGTTCAAGAAAACGGAAGATTTCCGCGGGTTCCCGATGAGCCCAGAGCTTCACTCCGTAGTCCGCAAGCGTCTTTCGCTCCTCAGGTGACGGCGTGCGGCTACAGAAAAGACAAGAGTGGCAACGGCGAAGTCCAAGGCCAGAGCTAATGGAATGTAGCAGAGTCGTTCTTGATTTAGTACTCGAGCTGCTAAAGTCTAAAGCTCAACCATTCGAAGCTACCGAACCTCGAACCGGCACCGCCCATCTGCCGAACTTAACCCACTGACCTCCGAACCGACACTGCGGAAACGACAGAGCCAAAACAAAAAGCAAGAGAAAAAAGGTTCTACGTGTGTCTGTGTGTGGTTCTTAGCGAAGATGCATCCTAGCAGCATCGTACAGAAACAGGGTGTCACCACCACCTCGCCGCAGGTACAGCTCCTGTCAGCATCGGAACTTCTGTCGAGGCTTCATGAAGCTCACATGCGTAGTCATATTATATAATGTGCATGCATGTGTGTATGTACATGTTTCTTAACCACACATGAGACATAAAACACAACTCTTGCGCGCACCTGCTCTCTGTTCTGTCTGCCAGTCTGGTCTGGTGCCCCCTATCGCTCGCTCGCTCTTTCTTTCGCCAGGGCTAGGGACAAGCCCCCCTCACCCGCGCGCGTTAAGCGCCCCCGACATATGGGGAGCGAATGGTGAGATCCTCATGCGACAGAAAGGCAAAGGTGGCTCGTAGAAGAATGTTGCGCACAGACTACACTTACAATAAAACGCATAGATCAGGGGAGAACTCCCCGGCCACCTCATTGGCACTTTCACTTCCGCATGGAACTGTCTACTGGCTGAGTGCCGCTGCTTCTCCTTCAGGAAATCACGGGTGGGGGGAAGTCCCCCAGGCACCAAATGGCTCTAAGCAAAAAAGCGACATGTAACCAAAAATGTCAGACAACTAGGACTGAAGGAGAGGGGTTTGTTCCCCTTTCAGGCACTCTTGCAGACTGTGTGCTAAAGTGACATGTCTAGACCGTACCAAGAAGAGCCGGAAATGACGCCGTGTAGCAGAGCTAAACAGAAGTTGGCACACCGGGAGACACGTCACAGGCTTGAAGGCTCACTCTCGCATTCTGTTCTACCTGCTACAGCAAAGCCCTACAACCCCCAAACCAGCAAGGACCCCCCGAACCTTCCGAAGACAAAAGAACCTGAACAGAATGCCCCTGGGTTGTTCCCCGGACCTTGGAGAGCAACGCCTTAAGAAAACATACTGACGATCTGAGTGGTATTTCGGCTATTGCACCGCGGTGGGAGGCCAATCTACAGCAACCACCTAAACAGAAAACCATAGAAGGGGCAGTGGCATCAGGGTAATCTCTCTCTCTCTCTCTTATTGATTGCTTGCTTGCGTGCTAGGCGTTTGGGGTTGGGGAAGCACCCTCCTTCGCCTTCGTCCCTCGCTCTCTCTCCCTCTCTGTTCTGCGCTGTTCTCCGGGGTCAAGGCAGCGCTTGTCCCCGCACCGCATGGGGCGGCAGAAAGACTCCTAGCTTGCCGGTAGAGCATACGGTTGCCCGGTCTTTTGCAACACCATCCAGTAACTACAACATATCAAGAACGTTACAGGACATGTCCCCCCGGGCTCCCCCATCTTCTTCGGCACGTTGTGCAGTACGCATGACCTCCTGTGCAAAAGCCTCAGTGGTGAAAGCAGTTATAACCAAGTGTAGAAAGCATCGGGTCCACTCGTTTTAGTCGAGGCACTTGCACCCGTTTGCAGAGGTCGTGGTTGCTAACAAAGTAAAGCTTTACCTATGTGTGGATTGATCTCATCTCTCACCAGGAAAAAAGATACAGTAGGCAGATCGAGTACCGAGTAAAGACGAACCAACAATCTGTCTGTCTCTCTCTTTCTTTCGCCAGGGCTAGGGACAAGAAAGGCATGCCCCCGTTGCCCACGCGCGTTAGCGATTGGCGCACTCCAACAAGGGTACTACTTCTGCCGTGTAATGCTTTCAAACTGCAGGGAAACGGCAAGTGGAAAGAGAGTGTCGCAACGGCTGACTGACTGAACACAGAGGCAGAAGTTGAGTCGCAACTTGGGTGCAAAGGCATCAGACAAGCTTCGCTCGAGAGGGAGTTTCTCTCTCTCTCTCTCTCTCTCTCTCACCCTCTCTTTCACTTCACTTCACTTCGGGGTTCA